TGATGAATTGGTCGCGCATTCGATCAACTCTATGCGTGAATTTGCATCCTTTAGCAGCTCTTGCAATTCGTCATGAAAATTCCATCACACTTTCGTTACTTGCTTTTTTTATAGTTGTGAATTCAAAGCGGAGTGTTAACGATGACTTCGGTTTAAAAAACTTCATGATGTTTTCCTCGATGTCTACGTAGGTAACTGAGTCATCTTCTGGGTATGCAGGCAAGCATTAATCTTCCAGTGTAGAATAAATCTGTCGTGGCATAAATCTTTCAGTGCAGAATAAATCAGTGCAGAATAAATCTGTGGTGTTAATATTATTGTTTTCCTTTTGGATCCAGGTACGTCCATTGCAGTTATGTATGTTCATAGTTGGCAGACAAATTGCTGATGGTTGCCATCGAATACCGGTGGCATAATTGCCGAAATAGCTTGTTGGATTGTCGCGTCCATGAATTGAATAAACAAAATGTATTATTTTATAGCTTTCTCTTAACCTCTCTAACTCTATACAAAAATTGTCTATATATATATAAAATACAAAAAGTGCCATGAGAATACTTTTAATTACAATTGAAATAGCGTGTGACTTTCAACACGTATCTACGTGATTTTTAATATGTATAATTCACCAACATAAAAAGAGTTCATAAAAAGTAAAAATTAATAAACATTAGGGAGGATGGGGGGGGGGGGAAGGAAGAAGTCTTAATAAGCTTAGGGTGGGTGGGAAAAATTTTCTAAAAATAATAAACGCTCCCCCCCCCTCCTCCTTGTATTAAGGACTCAAGAATTCACTTTTAAAAGCTGAAAAATCTGAAAATTATTAAATATATTATACTTAATGATTTTAAGATTTAATAAACATTGTTTAAGGATCGCTGATCAGATTTTTTTTTGAAAGTGGTGTAGAAGATTGTCTACTTAAAAATAGGTTATGCATACTTTTTATGGTCTTTACATTCCTAGGTTTTAATCTGCACAATTTTTTGTCATAAAAAAATTAAATTACATAAGTATGAACATATGAAAGTTGGATTTTTTACTTACCCAGAATAATTTTTTAACTTACTTTTTATTTTAGGAATTAAATAGTAAATTAATTTATATTTTAAATAGTAATTAAGCAATAGTTTAATTCTTTAAATGTTAAAGTTTAGCCAAATTTTTTTTTTTGCGCTTTTAAAGTTTTAATAAACCCACAAGCAAAAATATATAATGAATGTTAACCTATATTTTGTGGAAAATTTAGATTATCTTAAAATTAATTAATGTTGAAATCAGTTAAATCTACTATTGTGTTTATAATTGGTTAGTTGTAATGCTTGTAGTTTATAATTGGTTGTAGTTTATAATTGGTTAGTTGTAATGCTATAAATGGTTAGTTGTAGTTGATTAGTATTTAGTTTTACTATTGTTATGTCTATTTTCTATTTACACTACACTTCAAATATATATTTTTGTTTACATATTTATATATATATATATATATATATATATATATATATATATATATATATATATATATATATATATATATATATATATATATATGTATATATATTTTCATATACTTATATATGAAGATATTTATATATATAAAAAACAAAAAAATATCAAATATTAGGAAACCATATGTTACAATGTTGCGTCTTGTAAGGTTAAAAATGTTACTTTTTGTTACGTAAAAATTACAGACATTAGATCGTAACAATACATAAAAATGTTACGTCGCGTTACATAAACATGTTACATAACAGTTTTGTAACAACTAAACATTTCCTTTGTAAGTAAAACTGCCTCAACAAGTGATATGTTTTCAGCATTTTTTGATGATTTCTGTTACATAACATATTTGTTACATGTTACAAAATGTATATAATTTGTACTTAATTCTAGTATTTTGTAGGAAATCTTTTTAATTTTCTCTCATTATATAGTCAAAGATGTTCGATTCAAAAAGGGTTCAGGTCCAGAGATTGTTATGACCATTTCAAGACTCAAACTTTCTTTTGACCAAAAAATTCTGTGACTAGCTAGGAGGTGTGCTTTAGGTTGTTGTTGTGTTGAAATATCCAACCACACAACATGTTGTCCTTTGCATGTGGCAGCATTATGGGCTAGATTATTTTTTTATACATGCTTATATCCATAATGTCTTGAACTCAAACCTACTTCATTAAAGCTAAAACATGACCAAACTATTACTGAATCAGAACCAAAGTTATTATACTTTTGACCATTGCTGCGCTGTCTATTTGACTATTGCTGTGCTCAGCCTTGCTCTACGATTTTTTGCAGAAAGAAAAGGTTTTTTTATGGGACTACAATTTGATGACTACAAAAATGATTAAAAAGGTTGTTAGTGTTAAGCAATACTAAACTGTTGCTGTAATTTCGATGTGACTCTGTCACATCAAAGTGATATTATATACTTGTGTTAAGGTGTCCCATAACAATCAAGGAAAAAAATTCATTAAAAATTTGAAGCAGTCCCTTCTAAAAGCTTCTTTATGGTTCCCTAATAATACCTGAAATTTTTAGGTCATTTAAATAATATTTGAAAGTTCCCCAAGATATCTAAAATAAGCCTAAATTGTAATAAGCAACTCCTAATCCAAACAATTGTTATAGACTAGTCTTTGGTCTCATAAAAATTTGTCTGTCAATGTTAGAAAGCTCTGTATCAGTAGAATCTAGATTCGAATTTTCTACACTGTATTATAATGTTGGTAGGTAGAGTTTTATGAAAAAGCAAGAAAAAATCAAACAAAAGAAACATATTTGAAATGTAAAACATCAACTTCAACCAGGTTGGATCTGGTTGAAGTTGATGTTTTACATTGACCAGGTTGGACCATTTTCTTTTAATTATCTAAATATCAAAATTTAAGGTCAAGTGATTAAACCAAGACACACTCTGAATGCATCAGATAACATCACCTCAAACATGAGATGGCATTAGGCTATCCATAACAAGTTGCAACCAATGGTGAAATCCAAAAGTATAAAGGCTCCATTAAGTCTGCAGTACTTGATGTTGCAGTGTCAAAACACATTTCAATGACTAGTGAATTGCACTGCCATGACTTCAAAAGTTCAAGAACTGCCTCAATTGCTACCTTTCCTGACTCAGAAGACAACTTTAACACACCCAGAAATTTAATACTTTCTTCAACAAAAGAGAATATTAAAACTAGCAAACTATCCACTAGTGTCTTCACTGGTGATATCAGGCAGCAATTTGTCATCCAAATAAATGACTGATATGCTAGTTCAAAAGTCATCTTTTGCTTAAAAAAATAGTTTAGCAACCTAATTCATTCACTAGAAACACAAGGATCACTGTTGATTTGAAATTGGTTGAATTTTTTCTGCCTAATACTACTAACTATTTTGGAAGTCAGAACAGTGTATTTATGCTATTTGTTGTTATTAGGAGTTGTAGAATTGTTGATAAACTCATCAATTTCATCATCCAAAGAACCGAATGTTGATTGGCTAGACTGATGCGATTCTATTGTATTATTGTCATCATCTTAACATTCTTCAACTCCGGTTGCATAGTAAATACAATTAAAACTGGAGGTATAATATAAAAAGGACAGTAACTTTTGATTTTACAATGTAGTAAACTTTGAGCACCTATTATGTCCATAATTTTAAATTATTTAAAGTACACTTGTAAACAATGCAATCACGCAATTAAATACTTTACATACTGTCTTTTGCCTTTGATTTTAAAAACTGTAAACTGCATGAATGAGGATAAAAACTAGGTTTATAAAAGTTTTTTGAGCATGGTAGAGAAGCTACATGAAAAGATGCAACTTTGAAGCTACGTGAAAAGATGCAACTTTGCTAAATGATAAGTTACGTGAGATTGAGTTTAGGTAGAACAAAAGTTTTCCAATAAAACTTTAGGGGTAAAATAATTGGGAACTTCTATATATAGATATCATTATAAAGAAACAACACAGATTCATCATATGAAGGCAGGGAACAATCTAACACAGATTTAAATCTATGTCAGCCTATTGATGAAAAAGGAGTGCAAAGCTGTTCTACTAAAATTTTCAGCTTAAAGCAGTAAGTTTTTGCCCAGGATGTTTTTTACAAACCAGTAGCTGAATGTAAGCATCTGGCCAAAACAAATATTTTTATCAAGGCACTATCTCTAGCCTAAATTCAACCAACAACCCCTAAGCAGGGAGAATTTTAAGTCAGAGTTACAAGGCAGCAAGACATATGCCAGGGTAAACTTGATTACATGTTACCAGTAGTTGGGTAATCATGATAATCTTAACCCTGACCTGAGTATATTTAGTTTTGTAGCCTTTTTTTGTTAAGTGGCACGGTATCGGCATTGACCTAAAATGTGCAGTCAGTGAATCACTATTGCTTTATATCAACTTTTTGGTACTGCATACAATAACTTATTGTGCTTAATATCAAAATTTTTTAATGTTGAAAGTCTAAAAATAATAGAAATATAGATATAAAATATAAAAAGAGAAACTACTAGCCCTGTAGGTGTCAATAAATAGTGCATACATTTCCCATAGATTTTAAAGTTTTACTTTACACATCATAATGTAACTAATTTTAAGTGTGAATAGCTGATATAAAATAAATTAAAACCTATTTTCTTTTTCTTTAAAATAATTCAGACTATTATTCTATGTTAACTGCTCTAAAAAGTTCAATAAAAGGTAAAGCAAACACAACAAATGTTAAAAGAGAAACTCCTTAAAACTGGAATTTAAAAATTCAACTTAACTAAGACTAGCAAAATCCTCAGAATACAATTGTAAGAAATTAAAAAGGTTAACAATTTTTCAAGTTTTAACTTTTGAATATTTGTTTACTTATTTTGAAAATTTGTTAAAATAACATCACAAAGTTTTTATCAAATTCAGTGAATTTGTAAAAACGAGAATAAAATAAAAACATTATAATTACTTGTAATTAAAACTATTATAAATACTTTTTAAAAAACTCACAACATTTTTGAGATACTTTTGGGTAAAGATCTAAGATTGTTGTTTCTTAAATCTAACCATAGCAACTGAAAAAGACTAACAGAAAATATTTCTGGTATCACTTCTATTTCATTCCCTTCCAAGCTGACGAACTGAATAATAATAAAAATAATACTAATAAAACAAACTAAAATTTGATAAAACCTCAAATTATCTTTTCAAAGTTTACATAATATTTTAAAATTCAAATAGTAGTTTAAAAATTTCCTGTTGTAGTTATATCTGCAGTGTAAATATTTCTTCATAATTATTATTTTTAAAATAAATAAATAAAAATAAACTTAATATTAACATTTAATTAAAATTGAATTCTAAGCAAAAAGTATTAAAAATTGCTAGTAATAAAAAAATGTATTAACTATACTAACTTATTATTAATCTAGATTTTTTAAAGATAAAATGATTTACCTACCTGCAAGTGTTTGAGATCATAAATTTTATCTGGAAGAGTTACTAATTTTTTTTTACTTAAATCGAGCTGTTTAGATTGACTTTGAGCATTCCACTCTAATAACTTTTCAATAGTATTTTGCGTGGTATTTTTCTGATAAGCATAACTAAGTACAGCATGTTTTTCGTCTCCCATTTCTTTACTTTGGTAACCATGGACATAAGAAGTCACCTATTTCGTAAAACTAACGTCATTGAAACTATTGGCAGGCATACGACCGCCACATACCAACACACCAAGACAAATAAGCGTTTTGCACACTTTGTAAATTTAAGAACCAAATGGTTGGTGAATACCATAATTTTACCCTGTAATATAGAGATATGGAGCAACAGTCGTTGTTCCATATCTCTATATTACAGGGTAAAATAGAGACACGGAAGAGTTGTTAAAACCGGGATATTGAAAAAAGAGGTTAGGGTGAAAGAAGGTGCTAAAAGTCTCGCACTCAATATAACTTAAAATTCTTATAAACCTCCTTTTTACGTTATAAATTAAGAATTAAGTCGTAATTTTGAGGTTATGTTATTTTTTCACGTTATAAAGTAAAGGTCAAATTTTTTAAAAAAATACTCAGAGTACAAAAAAAAACAATTTTGATTACTTATTAGCTCGTTATTTGTCTTTGTGAAATACGTATCAAATTGTCCATAAAATGTCTATGTGTTTACTCGTTGTAACTTTAAAATAAGTTGTGGGATAGAGAAAAAAAAACTAGAAGAAATAAATAGTGTAAATATCGATCATGTAAGTATCAATAACTATTATTACATTGTTTCTGTTGCAATAATCTTATTAATACCAATATCTTTATTTCTAAACAAATTTCTACTTATTATGTCTAAACTCTGCAAAATTTGTGATAAAATTATTTGTGCTAATCATCATTCACTTTAATGTCATCACTGCCTAAGTTTAATCCACAAGAAATGTAGCTCTTTAAATAATGATCTTAGTTTATTAAAAAACTCTTCTATGAATGATTGACTCTGTGTTACATGCTGCGACAGTATTTTTCCTTTTAGTTCTATATCAGATAATAGACTGCGTCTTCAAACTTTAATTGACAATATATTACATCTCAATGATCTACCAAATGACATTTCCATCTTTCCTTGCTCCCGAGAATCTGATAATTTTGATCAACTAAATAATTACTTTACTTATCAGCTAAATAACAACGACGATGATAGTACAAAGATAGTTGAGAACCCAATCAATTGTTAATACATTGACACCGAAAAATTTAACTCTTCAAACATCAATATAAAATGTTTTTCTCGGAATTCGGAAAATCGGAATTACAGAAACTAAGCTGAAATCTGATTTACTCCCAACAACTCCAATAAATCTCAGTGGATATGTTTATGAACATACTCCAACAAAAACTTCATTTGGAGGCGCTCTTCTTTATATTTCTAATAAACTAGTTTGTAAATCAAGAAATGATTTACTTATGTATAAACCCCAATTCTTAGAGTCTGTATTTGTTGAAATCATTTTCCCTAAAAAGGCTAATATCATAGTAGGCTGTGTTTATTGCTATCCTAACATGGATATTAATAAATTTATTGTTTCATATCTAGAAATTTTATTTGAAAAAAATAAAACTACCTTTATAATTGGTGATTTTAATATAGATTTTATAAAAACAAGTTTAGATAACTCATTCTCGGAGTATTTGAATACCATTGCTTCAAACAACTTTCTTCCTTTTATATCTTTATCAATAAGAATTCCCAATCACTCAAGTACTTTAATTGATAATATATTTTCTAATTCAACTAAGTTGTGGCTAATGGCTATATATTTTCTAATTCAACTAACTGTGGCTAATGATCCGATATTCTAATATTTAGATTGCCAGAAAGAATATCTTTAGAAGTTACTTCTAAAGATAATCTTTCTGGCAATCTAAATATTAGAATATCGGATCATTAGCCACAGTTTCTAATTTATTCATCTTTTAAAAAAAGAAATAACAATTCTCGTAAAAGAAATATACTTTTTCAAAACTTCAAAAAATTAAATAATGAAGAATTCAGGAATGATTACTTGAAAATCAACTGGGGTAAAGTAATCAAAGTTTCTAATGGTAATACAAATAAATCATATGAAGATTTCTTTACTAGCTTTAATTCTCTTTTAGACAAACACGCACTGCCAAAAAAACTAAGTAATCATGTCTTAAATCGGAGCCTTAAACCTTGGGTTACTTCAGCAATTTTAACCTCGATAAACAAACAAAACAATATATTTAAGAAGTTCCTTAAAACAAAAAATCTTCATGACAAACTAATTCTTGAAAAAACTTACAAAACCTATAGTTATTTACTTGCAACACTTATTAGAAAAAGAAAAAAAAACAATTATCTACTTTACTACCAATAGCAGTTGTTTGAGAGCTACGTGGAAGGGTATAAGAACTCTTTTGAATATACGTTCGAATGATATCTCTTGCCCATCTTGTATATCTTCAAACAATACCATCATAAATAATCCAGCTAAAATCTCGGAAATTTTTAACTCTTTTTTTATTTCAATCCCTGAAGAACTGCAAAAAAATATTCATTTATCCCCATACTGACTTCCATAAGTATTTAAAAACATCAAACCCTAACTCTCTTTTCATTAAACCTACTGAAAAAAATGAAATAATATCAGTTATTCTTACTCTAAATGATGGCGAGGCTTCTGGTCTAAACAGCGTTCCAACCTTTATTCTAAAACTTCTTGCTAATGATATTTCTTCAGTACTTTCTAAACTATTTAATCTCTCATTCGTTACTGGTATATTCCCTAATATTTTAAAAACTGCATATATTCAAGCAATCCATAAAAAGGACTCAAAACTTGACTGCAGTAACTATAGACCAATATCATTATTATAAAATATCAGCAAAATTTTTGAAAAATTAATGTTTTCTTGTATCTACCACTTTCTGGATAATTCTAAGTGTCTCTACGGCCGCACAGTGGGCAATGGTGTACCAAAAGTCAAAATTATTTTTTTGCAATTTTTGTATAAAAAACTACTTTTAAATGAACTTAACATATTGATTTACATATAAACATAAGGATTCTTAATAAAAAATGCACCTTCACTAAAAATTTTTAATTTTAAGTCGTCACCCTGAATAATATTTTATTCGGTCAAGTGCTTTTCTAAAAAAGTTTAAAAAAATACTTTTTTATATGTGTTGCCATTTAATGTTAGGTATTTTATATTACTACGAATTTGAATTTTAGTTTTATTACATATGTTGGCAATCAATAGGCATATCTTTTTATCTTCTTGAATTCATTTTATGATCAATCAAAGATAGCGTGTTTTATGGTAGAAATATTTAAGTTTTTTTTTTTTTCTTAAACCATGCTCATATTTTTTTGGCCATGTTTGGCCAGAGTTTTTATGGCTGATATTCACTGGAAAAAGTATATTTAATGAGTTAAAAACTGTTTTGGTTGCAGATATTTGCAAATGAAGACTATGTAACTAAAACATTACACATGATTTAATACCGTGACAACTGTAAATAAAACAATTTTTTTTATATTACTATATACTATTGATTTTACAAAAACCCTTCATAAATAGGTTGCTTTAATATTGTTAGTAAAATAGTCGCCAACTAACTTTAACTTATATTAATAAGATTATGCAATATATATATATATATATATATATATATATATATATATATATATATATATATATATATATATATATATATATATATATATATATATATATATATATATGTATATATACTGTTAAAAAGCAGTGTTTAGTTGTTGTTTTTATGGACTTTTACAGGTTTAATTTTGGTTTCTTGCTTTAATTATTATTGCTTTTATAACTGTTTTTATACTTGCATTAATTATTACACAAGCACCTTTTTATAAGATTTATAGCCACAATTTCTCTCCACTCTTTTTATAGTGGAAGCACTTGTTTTAAATTCATTCGCTAAAGTTCGAACAGAAATCTCCGGTTTTCTGTCTAAAGCATTATTTACTTTTTTACCAAAATCTTGTATAACAAAACATTTTTCTTCCACTTCCTGATATGTATGTATGTATGTATGTATGTATGTATGTATGTATGTATGTATGTATGTATGTATGTATGTATGTATGTATGTATGTATGTATGTATGTATGTATGTATGTATGTATGTATGTATGTATGTATGTATGTATGTATGTATGTATGTATGTATGTATGTATGTATGTATGTATGTATTAATAAAAACGCTTATCCTGCAAGCCTGTCAAGGACAAAATTAGATATGTGTTTTTGCTAATTTATTATTACTCTGTTCTAGCACTCTATTTGTAGAATATATTGCTTTTTGTTGCTTTTATTGTCAATATTTTTAAAAACTACATATTGCGAACCTGAAAAATTGTATGTTTGTAATCACAGAGAACAAGCAAGACAAAAAAATATGATAACTTGCATTAGGTACGTTGAGTAGCAACTAACGTAGTTGGGAATAACTGAGAGATAAATATTTCTACAACAATCTTTGTGATGTTTTTTTTTATGTATAGTGTAATAGTGGGTTTTGGATATTTTATTTTCTTTTTTCTTGATAATTACTTTAGAGATTCATTTAGAAATTTGCCCGAAAACTTGAATGATCGTTTGAACCTCCTTATTGTTTATTTTTTATTTTTACTTTTCGCTAATGTTTTATTAGCTGATTGGAAAATCTAAAGCGAAGGATGTTTTATTTGGACAATTTTTTAAAAAGAGTATACATGACAATAACAAAATAATTTTAAACTGTTATTCCTTATTCATTTTATTACATAGGTACCCACTTTATAAAAAAAACTATTTTGCAGTTTCATAGTTTTTGCATGCGTGTTCGCAATTTTTAATGCAGAAGATGGTGAATGTGGCCATAAGTATTGTGCTTTTGCTAAATCTGAATCAACAAACACGCCAAGTGCTTTATCATTCGTCAGCAAAACGTTTGCGTTTTCCATAAAACTCGAGACTATAGTCTCGAGTTTTATTGCCAATTAAAAAAAAAAGATCTTATAAGATCTTTTTTTCTCACTCGACAACTCTTAATACTTTAACTCTTAATGCTTTTTTTTCTTCTCAATCGACAACTCTTAATGCTTACTTTTTTTCTCAATCAACAACTCTTAATGCCCAATCGACAATTCTTAATGCCACCAAAGTTGTTTCTGTTCCTATTCTTATTGAACGTAATGCCTGAAGATATGCATTAAAGTTATGCTTGAAACTGCTTTCCTCAAGTAATGTGGAACTATTTTTTTAGTTTACTGGGCTCTGAAAAATCTCAAAATTAAAATTATCTTGTTCTACCTCCACTTTTTGAAAAATTTGAGTTATTAGGCCGAGTGAATAAAAACGTGCAACTTCTTTTACTCAGTAACTGGTCAACTTTACGTGAATGAAAGCTTAAGGAATTTTGGCTAAGTTTTTATTCACATAAAGCTGAACAACTACTGAGTAAGTTACTTAACTTTAAGTGAATAAAAATTTGAGCAAAACTGCTAAAGTTTTTATTCACGTAAAGCTGACCAATTACTGAGTAAAAGCAATTGCTCAATTTTATTCATCCGACCTATTGATCGTGTATAACTATAATTCAAAATGTTTTTCTTTTTTATTACAATCTATGTTGTAATTCAAAAAGTTGCGAAAGAAACATATGTGATCAAAATCTTTTTATATGCCGTCTCCTAAAGTTTTTAAATGTCGTCTCTTAAAGTTTTTATATGTCGTCTCCTGCAGTTTTTATCTTTTAAGCCGTTTTATCTTAGAAATCAAAAATGTGGAGAAAACGATAATGCTAATCTCGCCAAATCTCCTTTAGACATGCACGATCTTATGCGTTTTTCAAATGATGTGGATTAATTTCATAAAAAATTCAAATGAAATGTTTTAGCTGTCATATTAAGCTAATTTGATTAACTTATACGGTCATTTATATACATATTTTAAAAAATTTTTACATTTAAATATTTATAAAACTATGCCCTTATATACAAAATTAAACTTATAAATTTACATCTTTTTATATTTTATTTGAGTCAATCTTAAAACCAAATTGGCTTGATAGTTTACGTTGGAAAGTTTGCACTATGATGAATTTTTGACTGTGAATAAGACTTGGGAATCTCCATAGGAGACAACAAGTTTCCTTGCGAACGACTTTTCCATAAGTTATTACTTTCAAGTTTAGGTCCTTGAAATGCAGATGAGAACGGACCAAATATTTTATCGTATTCTGTAGTTTCTTTATTTTCCGGAATACTTGGTGTTGTAATCGATGAGACACTGGAAAAGGTACATGTAGAACAAGTAGAACAATCGCTTATGGTCCGTATTATACCTTCATCTGAAAAAGGTAAACATTATTTAAAAAATTTCTATTGTTTAGAGCCATTATATAATTTACATAAAAGATAAAAACCTGTATCAAAATCTTCTACATGATTAAACATTGTTTTTGAAGTATTCTTTGCAGAATCCTCTATATCGTTGTTGGAAGTGTTTTGAGCATAAAATGAATGCCTTAGTTCTGGAGACAAACTATCACTATGCAAAACTGAAATTCTGGGTAAATTTTGTTGTGGTAAGGACAAACGTCTCCAGTCTTCGCTATCTTGTTTATCTTTGAAAGAAATATCTAACATTTTCCGTGGTTCAAAAAACATAGCAGCGACCTTGAATGGAGAAATATCCTTAGTGAAGACCTAAATGATAGTGACTCTTTGTTACATAATATAGGCAACTTGGTACTTAGTTTTTTAATTAAATCAAAAGTTTTTTAGATTTTAACAAAATTTAGATTTCTCAAATATTTTTTAGTACTAATATATCAACAAATAAAATGTTGTTAAACAGTGTTTAATAACAATTGGCAACAACAAGTTATTTTTCAAATTATTTTAATAAAATAAAGAAAACTGTCTCTGAATTTTTGTGTGTCTGCAATAAGGCAGGTTTATGAAAAACATACCTTTGGAATGCTTGAAATACTTCGACTTTTTATTTCCGTAAACCAACTTTCAATAACGGGCTGTTGCATTGCACACAAATGCCAGACACGATTAACCGTATATATGTCTATAGCATATTTATAATTGTGCAAATTGCCTCGACGTGGAACAACATTTGCATTAATTAATGAAATTTTGCCTAAATAATAAACTTTTTTTTTATTTACAAACACTAAGTTACTAACTTTTGAAAATCAAATAAACTATAACAGTTCAAGAACCTTCGTAAAAATGAATAAAAGACCACTGAAAAAGATTTTTATTAGCGAACCAATGGTTTTTAAAAGAAATTATAATTTTATGATAAAATTTGAAATTTTATCATAAAATTTTAAATTTTATCATAAAATTATAAATCCACATACCTAGCCCAAAAATTTGAAATCCACATACCTAGCCCAAAAATTTTATTATCACATAGCAAGTTCAAAACTTATTTTGCAACCACTGAATTTTCAATTTCCATTAGAAGACCAAAAGTATTAAATAAAATACTAATGAACTAAAAACACGTAAAAAACTTAATAAGTTTAAAACCAAATTAAGTCAAAACTATTGATAAACAAAGTTTTTTTTTTGATGATTTATGGGTTGATACTTACTACATTTAAAAGTTTATTATTACCAACTGGTCAAACTTCGTAATGATCATGTCATATGCTATTGTTTCAATTTTTTGTTTATAAAAAATTATGATTTATAAAAGTTTTAAATTTTAAAATACTAAATTCTAAAGTAACAATTTTTAAAGGTATTTGGAGTACATGTTAATGAAAAACTATTAGTGATCCATCCTGCTGAGTATTTATCATTTATTATAGTCATGCATTTACGGTTATCAATACATGTTGAATTGCCACTATATAATTATAAGTTTTAGATAAAAAATAAATTCAAATTTTATAAGAGAACAATTTCAGCTGATAACGTAAGGAATATTAATCTATATAAAAACGTGTTCGTGAAACTTAATGTCTAGTTTTGGTGTTATGAAAATCATTCTTTTCAAATCTTATGATTTAAATTTTTGTTTAAGAAAATTTGTTACGCTAAAATGATTAAAGTTTCAAAATGCGCCAAAGTTGGTTGATTCACCTGGAAAATAACCGTTTGTTGACGCCCTTTATAAATGGAACTTTATTGACGTCCTTTGAATGGGAAATGTTTCCTGAAAAAAAAAATACAAAGGGTGAAAATATGAAGATTAACACAGCTGTTAATTTGTTTTAATGTTTTTAAAACAAATTTTTGAAAAAAAAGTCACAAAGAAATCCAATTTAAGATACAAATGCTGACCGTAATAAATTTTCTTAAATGTGTATTATTTTATGCTTAGAAATTACTTGTGTTGTGAAACCCCTTCAATTTTAGGGGATACAAATTTATATAATCATAACTTTTGAACGCTGAGAAATGATGCTACAAAAATTGATGATTATAAGTCTAGTTGAAAATGGGAATAAAAATATTTTATCAATTAGTTGCTCTCACGTTTGAGACAAAGAGAGCAAAAATTATTGGTATTTTTGTTCCCAGGCTCCAATCATTTCAAATTTTTCCAAATTATCCTTACTTGACATAACTATAAACATATAAATATTTAGAGCTCCATATCTGGAAGATTATTATCTCAAACACCAAAAAATGCTGGATAAGCTCCAGCCGATATCTAATGTAATTACATACCGATATCTAATGTTAATAAAAGTATTGTTAATAATAATAATAATAATAATATTAATAATAATAATAGCAATAATAATAATAATAAGAAGAAATATATATTTTACCCATAAAATATATTCTCATTTTGTAGTTAGTAAGCAAATAGGAAATATACTACATAACATATAAAGTTTTGATTTTTTTAATGAAAGTTTCATTTAAGTCAAGAAAAATAGGCAACCTATATCTGATTGGTTCTTGCAAGATAGAAGACTATGGTTCTGACATATCAGATACTGAGTAAAATTTAAGGAAATGTTTTGACTGTCATAATAAGCTATCAAAACAGCTTAAACGTTTTTGCACAGAACTTTGTTTTGCAATCTCATTTTTGCTTAATTTGATAAATTTAATTAATCATTATTTATATATTTTTTTAAAATTTTTACATTTAAATATTTATAAAACTATACCCTTATATACAAAATTAAACTTATAAAGTTACATCTTTTTATATTTTATTTGAGTCAATCTTAAAACCAAATTGGCTTGATAGTTTACGTTGGAAAGTTTGCACTATGATGAGTTTTTGACTGTGAATAAGACTTGGGAATCTCCATAGGAGACAACAAGTTTCCTTGCGAACGACTTTTCCATAAGTTATTACTTTCAAGTTTAGGTCCTTGAAATGCAGATGAGAACGGACCAAATATTTCATCGTATTCTGTAGTTTCTTTATTTTCCGGAATACTTGGTGTTGTAATCGATGAGACACTGGAAAAGGTACATGTAGAACAAGTAGAACAATCGCTTATGGTCCGTATTATACCTTCATCTGAAAAAGGTAAACATTATTTAAAAAATTTCTATTGTTTAGAGCCATTATATAATTTACATAAAAGATAAAAACCTGTATCAAAATCTTCTACATGATTAAACATTGTTTTTGAAGTATTCTTTGCAGAATCCTCTATATCGTTGTTGGAAGTGTTTTGAGCATAAAATGAATGCCTTAGTTCTGGAGACAAACTATCACTATGCAAAACTGAAATTCTGGGTAAATTTTGTTGTGGTAACGACGAACGTCTACAGTCTTCGCTATCTTGTTTATCTTTAAAAGAATTATCCATTACTGTACGGGGTTCAAAAAACATAGCAGCGACCTTGAATGGAGAAATATCCTTAGTGAAGACCTAAATGATAGTGACTCTTTGTTAAGTAATATAAACATCTTAGCACTCAGTTTTTTAACTAGATTATAAATCTTTTAGATTGTAACAATATTAAGATTTCCAAATTCTCAAATATTTTGTAGAACTAATATATCAACATATTAAATGTTGTTAAACAGTGTTTAATAACAGTAGGCAACAACTAGTTATTTTTCAAATTATGAAAACTGTCTCTGAATTTTTGTGTGTCTGCAATTAGACAGGTTTATGAATAACATACCTTTGGAAAATTTGAAATACTTCGACTTTTTATTTCCGTAAACCAACTTTCAATAACGGGCTGTTGCATTGCACACAAATGCCAGACACGATTATCCGTATATATATCTATAGCATATTTATAATTGTGCAAATTGCCTCGATGTGGAACAACATTTGCATTAATTAATGAAATTTTGCCTAAATAATAAACTTTTTTTTTTATTTACAAACACTAAGTTACTAACTTTTGAAAAATTAATAAACTAAAAACAATTCGATAACTTTTTTTTTATTTAGATACCAAGTTCCCATAAGGAATATTTATCTATATAAAAATGCGTTCTTTAAACTACATAAAAATGTGTTTATGAAACTTAATTTCTTGGTTTTGGTGTTCAAAACCAAGAAATTTTTTGTGCATCATTTTTTTTCAAAGTTTAAGATTTAAATTTTTGTTTAAGAAAATTTGTTACGTTAAAATGATTGAAGTTTCAAAATGCGTCAGAGTTGGCTGATTCACCTGGAAAATAGAAGAAATTGACGCCCTTCGAATAGAAAATGGTTCCTGCAAATGGAACTATATTGACAGCTTTTGAAAAATAATATATGAGGGGTGAAACTATAAAAATCAGCACAATTGTTAATTTTTTAAATGCTTTTAAAACAAATTTTTGTAAAAAAGGTCACAAAGAAATCCAATTTAAAATTTATATAAATGCTAACTGATAATTTAACTAATAACTTTTCTCAAATGCTAATTGTTTTAAAAAGCTTAGAAATAACTTGTGTTTGTTTCGATCTAGTTAAGTTAATTTTTGTTTTAAGATTTTACGCAAAAAAAAAAAGCTACGCAAAAAAAAAATAAAGGTCATAGATAAAATAAGCTCCTTTTTCCTGCAAGCACAGACGTCCGCGAGACGTCAATATGACATCAATAAGACGTCAGAAGCCAGTAATACGTCTTTAAGACGTCCAACAAATGTTTTGAGCCCAATTGTTTACTGTTATTATAATTGTTATTATAATAATAAACTGAAAAATTGTCTTGTAAATAAAACATAGAATTGAAATATTCTTTACCTAATGGTTTTTCACCGGCTTCTTTTGATTTGTCATCTTTGTAATAAAAAATAAAAACTTCTCTTTCAATTATCTGATCAATGTCAACTCTTGACTTTGTATCGTACAACACAAGATAACGTAAATGCCATCTTGCAACTTTTCGAATAACATGCTCCTGTGGAGGAGATTTAACTAGAAAACCTTCTTTAACAATACACTCTGGATCGAGCTTTGATGGAATTGCTTGACCATTATTACGATGTGCTACATAGAAAATTATGTTATATATTTATATACGCACATAAACGTATTTACATATGCTTTGACACACACTTTTACAAATTTTAGCACTCTTTTTGTAAAAGGCATAAAAACAATTTCTTTATAATATTTATAAGGGTAAATATACAAATAATATATATATATATATATATATATATATATATATATATATATATATATATATATATATCCCTACAAAAATGAGTATAAACTACCAAATTAGTTAATAAATAAACATTAGTTTAGTAATTATCAAAAAATTAGATAAATATGTCTTGTGTAAAAGCAAATAACTAAGTGGAAGAAATGGAAGCAATTGATCAAATATATATGTCTAACACCAGCAGTAAAAAAAGTCAGGTCAGATCAAACTCACTTTCATAGAGCTTAGGTCAGGTCAGATCAAACTCACTTTCATAAAGTTTGCAACTAGGACACCTGATTATTAAAGTAAAGCCCATGAGTAAAAAGAATTAATTGAATGTATTAGAAATAGTGTTAGTTATAGGGTTATAATATAGTATAGATATTTAAATTTGTAACAGGTAGTTAAGAAAGTCTATTTTAGTATTAAAAGCAACAATATACTTGATTTCTGTTTATTTTATAGTCCATCTAAAATTATTTAAAACTTACACAAGCATTTTGTTTATTATAGTTCGTAACGAAAAAAACAAGGTCAGACACTGTTTAGTGCACATAAGGTAGCTTACTAGAGTAAGCTTTAGGCAAGTGGTTATAAATAATTTTGAACAGATGTATAGTTCAAAAGTAGCCGGTAGTTTAAGACGACGTGCAGTTTAAGAAATATGTAAAATGTAATAAAAAGAAAAATGTAATAAAAGAGAAATGTTTCTTAAATTTTTTTTTTTATCGAGTAATAATTATAAACAATAATAAGTAATTATAGTAATTTTAAACAACAGCTGAATTAGAAGAATTATTACCAATAACTGAATTATTCTTATAAAGATCTCAAACTATTAAATAATTTTCTGGTATATTATAGGGTAAGGTAGGGCAAGAAGCCCACCATAAGCAATTTCGTCTTTTTTTTACTGATCCAATAAACGTATCTAGAAATTTATGTTACCATTATTTCAGATACTTAATAAACTTAAGTATCTAAAGTTATTTTCTTAATGGCTACTCAAGTTTTAATAAAAATATGCTTTTTATAAACTGCTATAGAGTGGGCCTTTTGCCCCATTGCTGGGGCAAAACGCCCCTACCCTGGGCCTTTTACCCTAAACGTTAATAGTTTGAAATATTCCTTTTTTACAATAAAAATTTATTGCAACAATACACTTTTTACTAGTCACAATATATTTGTGTGTAAAAGTGTCCAACAAAAGTTTTAGTAGAACACTTAGCACCATAATATTAGCAAGTAGCACCATATATGCTATCATATGACAATGGCAAACAGCACCGTAAAATTAATAGAGCTAAAAAGAGCTAAAAATTTATAGACTAAAAAGGTAGCTATAAAAACTAATTTATAGAGCTGAAAAACACAACTAAAAGCTAAGTCATAGAGCTTAAAAGTTGCTAAAAAAAACTAATTCATAAAGCTAAAAAGATATCTAAAAGAATAATTCATAACCCAAAAAGACAGCTAAAAAACTAATTCATACAGCTAAAAAGACAGCTAAAAAACTACAGTAAGACTAGTTGAATTGATTATGCCTATTGGCAGTGAAAGCAGACAGCAGTGTCATCAGGACCACAGCCGTCGTGGTACCAGTTGAGACATTCTGGGCATTGCTGCCAGTCATCAATGGGTGGTCCGTTAAATCTTTTACCACACATGCAACATGGCGTATTATCACTGTTAGTAACAGAACCTACACATCTTCGTTCTTTTGACCCTTTTCTTATCAAGTTAGCATTCGATGCGTTACTTTTGATTGTCTTTTTTGATTTTGTTCTCGCATATTGCTTCCTTTTCCCGGTTTCTTTGTCATCTCCACTTTTCGTTCTCTTGGATTTGTCTGCGATTACATCGATTTCGTCTTCATCATTTTCCTCATTATTTTTTTCAACTACTACTTGCTTGTTCTGTTTTGTCTTCTTTGCATTTGCTTCAATTAACATTGCTTTATAAGGACTAGAAGTTATTACAGTTGCTGCTTCGGTTTTTCGTTTGCGAATGCGTACATTCTTTATCCTTGGAATAGGGCTTAGTTCTGATATAATCTGCAATGCTTCGGATAAACCAGGATGATCAGCTGTTTTATCTAGTCGATTTTCATCGGACTCATTGCTATCTCCTGTTGCAATCCTATCAGTCTCCATCACATTAACCGATGCTTCATCATCCACCGCATTGCCGGCTTCTTCATTTGTATTCGTAGGTTCACTTGTTTCGTTTCTAGCTAATAATGCTCTTTCCATCATTTGGATGTGTTTAACAAGATCTTGTTCAATTTCAATAGAAAAAGTATTCACATGATTTCCTAATTTATTGCTCCCAACTTGTTCTACTTTGCCCTGCAAATGCCTTCTCAATGTCTTCCTTGAAACTCCAAAACTGTTTTCAGCTTTACGCAAAGGCATACCATTTTTTACTAAATCTAAAGCCCGTTGTAAACCTTCTGCTCCGTAACTTCCTCTTTTTGTCTTCCTTTTGTAATTTCTAACCATATCTATAAATAAAATAAAGTTAAAATTTGAACATTCTACTTAGATAATGCAAGGGGTAAAAAACTCAGGATGGGCCTTTTGCCCCATTAACAAACTGGGCTTTTTGCCCTAAAATGGTCGGTGCTAAAATTGATAAAAACATATTATTCTATAGTACAATGAACGTTATGTAAATAATCAATACATAATTTGTACGCTTACAAATACATAAACTCATTTAAATAATCAACTAAGTTTAACAATAATCTTCAAAAAATTTTTAAAATTACGCAAAAAATCAAAATGTCCTATTCTTATTACCTGTCAAGTCTTCAATATTCTGTTAAAAGTTATATTTCTACTAAAAGTTCACCAAAATTCGCTCGCAACACTGTTACACATTTATCATTCATACTACAAAACAATAATTATAATATTTTACCTAGGTTCTTCATAACTGCAGGATGGGCCTTTTACCCCACCTGGGCCTCTTTCCCCACCCTACCCTATTCAAACAAACTAAAATAAAAATTTTATTCAATCTCATTAATGCAAAAACCTAATTATATCTGCTGTTTCTCTGAGTTTCATTGTTTAATTAAAAACATGTTTTACTGCAAAAAAAAATTTGTTTGTATTACTTTTACATTTCTTTTTGTAGTTACGCACCATTTTTAAACTTTGTTTTAATTTTTAATAATTTAAATTGTTAATAAAATTGTTAACGGACGTACATCTAAAAGTTTATGCAATACTGTCTCAACCCTAATTTCAGAATATATTCCAAATAACTTTTTATTTAGATTGTAGAACATACTCCTTTCACTAAAAATGCGTATATAAAAAAGTTCCTCGGAGAAGGAATTTCCTCAGTAAATCCTTACGTTTAAATATCATAAAACATTAGTGAAAAATCTAAATGTCTTCGTGCCAAAAATCCTGTGACGGTATATATTAGTGAATTGGAAATGTGAAAGCAATTCCAATTCACATATATATTTAACTTGGTTGATAAGTTTGAATTTTTTAAAACTTTCGCATCGTCCAAAACTACCCCTGTCCTAAAATGCCTTCTTTTTCCCTACTTATTTTACTCGTGTCAAAACGTATTTTGTATTGAATCGCTATGTTATAGTCAAAGAAAAGTATAGTTATATATACCGCTATATTACATAGATTCATATGAACATTTATTTAAACTTATAAATTTAATTTCAGTCTGCTCGATCTTTTTATTTGCAGAAAATTAATTTCAGTCTGCTCGATCTTTTTATTTGCAGAAAAATGTTAATTCTGTTTATTTGACCCCCGTTAACTTTGATTTTCGATATTTAAAGTTGTCCAAATTTAGCATTCTTGTACCCTGCATTTTATGATTCAAACAAAATAGAATCAACAATTAAATATAAGTTGTACTCTATTTCAAAGTGAGATGGCTTAGCGACTGGGCTATTAAAACATTTTCAAGTTTTGACATTACAATAATAATTAATTGTAATTTTCATGAAGTTGTTATTATAAACATGAATTACAATATTTATTGAAATTTTATTACAGTACTAAAGTAGTTGAAAATCACAGGTATGGTTATTGTTTCTAAAAAATTAATACAGTAACAATTCTAATACAATAACAATTGTAACCCTAGTTTTAATAAACCTAGTTTTGTGATTTCTTGACAATTAGGGATCTAATAATTAGTTATACTAAAAATTAGTACACAGTTTACCGTATAGCATACAGGATAGTATACTGTAAACAAAGTATTTTTATTAGTTTTATATAAAAAAAAAATTTGCTAACGGCTACAAAGCTATGATATGCAGCTATTGAATAGACACAGACTTGCCGTTATGTTATAGATAACTAAAATAATATGATAATGAAGAATGTTCCCTCAAAAATGGAACTATAACAAAACATTAAAAAAAAGTATAAGTATATTTAAAAAAAAAAAAAAATCAAACTAAAATTATTTTGCTGGACTAATGTACATTTAATATTGCTAATCAATTCTTTTCTGGTAACCCTTTACGACGAACTGCATTTAATCTTCTCTTAGTTGAGCTCGTTATGTACCACCTCTGGAGTGATTTTTTTAAAACACTACTTGATTCTTCTCGTTAATTTTTTGCTTCCCACTTTCCCTTGTAGACTAAATCTTTCAAATAGACCTAAAAGTCTTTGATTGGCATTTTCATAGAACACAATTGATACTTTCACTGTCCAGCAAAGCACTGACATTTTTGGCATAAGGAGCCGGAGCTAAGTTAAAAAGTCAAATAACGTAATTGTCATCAGGATATTGTTCACGTATGAACGGAATTAAAATATTTTTTAGGACAGATTGGTTGAAT